AAAAAAAAAAAAAAAGCTACTTAAGGGTGGCAATGATCTTATTAAAAAAGATTAAAAAGCATTGCTTCGGATTCCGCTTTTTCATGTACCCCAGATGACCCCAAACTACTGGGATCTGCATCTTTGTCCATGAAGGCTTTCCCTTCACTCCCCAGAATCTGTCAACAAGCAAAAGACTGGAGCTGGTGTATAAATACCCCTACTCCCTCACCCCTGGGCTACACTGGGCAATTCTGAAGCATACGTTTCCCAGAGTTTGCCCACAGGACTAAGTTCCAGTTGCCCCCTGTGGCTACTCCTGAGGAATATACTCTGTATTTGCTGCCTTCTTTTTTCTGTCTCCCTTCCCTCCTTTCTTGCTGATTTCCCTTCACCTCCCAAGTAAACCACCTGCACTCAAATCCCTGTCTCAGAGTCTGCTTCTGTGGGAGCCTACACTAAAATTATACATGTGTATATGTGTGTGTATTTTAAATGATTTGTAACTTCACTGAGTAAATAATAAAAGACAGCCCATGCATTAGGGGGTGTGTCATGTACCAGGATTGTAATTTATCTAATTTTATGAACCTGAGGTCCACTAAAAAATGTTTTTAAAGCATAGACTCTGGAGCCAGACTGCCTGGTTGTGTACACAGGCCCTCTTCTCACCAAGAAAGCAGAAAAGGAAGGCAGTAAGAAAAGTTCTGCTAGGACTTTTTGAACTAAAAGTCACCTTTTGCATGACTAAGAAGGCTCAGACAGGCCAGGTGCAGTGGCTTATGCCTATAATCCCAGAAATTTGGGAGGCTGAGCGGCGGCTGGATCACCTGAGGTCAGGGGTTCGAGACCAGCCTGCCCAACATGGTGAAACCTCGTCTCTACTAAAAATACAAAAAATTAGCCAGGTGTGGTGGTGGGTGCCTGTAATGCCAGCTACTGAGGTGAAAGAATCACCTGAACCTGGGAGGCGGAGGCTGCAGTGAGCTGAGATCACACCAGTGCCCTCCAGCTTAGGCAACAAGAGCGAAACTCTGTCTCAAAAAAAAGAAAAGAAAAGAAAAAGAAGGCCCAGATGTTGGACTATCTGGGCTAACGAGCTATTACTATATGAATAGTCTCATTATTTAGTGTCTACTCAGAGCAATCTCACAGCCTTACCTTTGGGATTGAAAGATCCCCATCTCCAGTAAAATCAACATCCAGTACCTTCCTTATAACCACTAGGCTACTGAATCCAGATTCAGAATTATTAAACAGGTAGGCACAGGCCTAATGTCATAATCTCTATTGAGCAATAGATCCCTGTGGCAGGAGAAAAATTCTCCATGCTTCTTTCCTCTCAGTTTGCAGCCATAGTACAAATGTGGGTGAAGGGTTTCAGACAAAGCTTTGAAAGCCAGGGAACCCAATTGCAAGAGGAAGCCGGGATCCTTCCCTTCCACAGTTGAGCTTCCAAAGAAATGTTTTGCTCTACTGAAGTTCTGACTTTGACATGATTTATTTGTGAGTCAGAGATCCCATGAGCTGATAAAATGTTTAATACCTCTATGAAAACCTACATGGTAATTTCCCTTTGTACCTGAGCATTTCCATTTAGGCTTTTACTCCACATAGACTGCTTCTCAGAGAATGGAATCACAACCCACGGAGCCCTCTCCTCTCCCTGTTCACTTTGGAGCCCACCTAATTGAAGGCCTCAATTTCCTCTGCGCATACTCTAACACTCTTTCTTCCTTCCCATTATCATGTGACTTTTTCTTTCCCCATTCCATCTGGCCATCACCACACTAGCTGCACGTGAATGAACCTTCTTCGAAATAACTATTTCCAAAAGAATAGGGGCTTGTGAACTTTTTCTGTAAAAGGCCAAATAGTAAATAATTAGCTCTTGGGCCAGGCATGGTAGCTCATGCCTGCAATCCCAGCACTTTGAGAGGCCAAGGCAGGCGGATAACCCTAAGTCAGGAGTTTGACACCAGCCTGGCAAACATGGTGACAACCTGTCTCTACTAAAAAAACAAAAATTAGCTGGGCGTGATGGCGGGTGCCTGTAATCGCAGCTACTCAGGAGGCTGGGGCAGGAGAATTGTTAGAATCTGGGAAGTGGAGGTTGCAGTGAGCCAAGATCATGCCATGGCACTCCTTCCTGGGTGACAAGAGTGAGACTCTGTTTCAAAATAATAATAATAAATTAAATGCAAAAATAATTTAGGTCTTGTGGATCCATATGTTCTCTGTCGCAACTACTCAACTCTGTCTTGGTAACACAAAAGCAGCCACAGACAACACATACACAAATGTGGCTTTTTTTTTTTTTAGTTAAACTTTGTTGATGGACACTGAGATTAGAATTCCTAGGACTTTTCTATGTCACAAAATATGATTCCTTAAAGGAGTCTCACTCTGTCGCCCAGGCTGGAGTGCAGTGGTGGGATCTTGGCTCACTGCAACCTCTGCCTCCCAGATTCAAGCGATTCTCCTGCCTCAGCCTCCTGAGTATCTGGGACTATAGGCACATGCCACCACACTGGCTAATTTTTTGTATTTTTAGTAGAGACGGGGTTTCGCTGTGTTAGCCAGGATGGTCTCAATCTCCTGACCTCATGATCCGCCTGCCTTGGCCTCTCAAAATGCTAGGATTATAGACATGAGCCAGCACACCGGGCCACGAATGTGGCTTTTGTCCAATAAAGTTTCATTTATTTATTATTACTATTTTTTAATTGTACTTTTAAGTCCTGGGGTACATGTGCAGATCTTGCAGGATTGTTGCATAGGTACACACATGCCATGGTGGTTTGCTGCCTCCATGCCCCCGTCACCTACATCAGGCGTTTCTCCCAGTGTTATCCCTCCTCACTCTCCCTGACCCCCTCTGTCCCTCCCCTAGCCCCCCACCCCCAACATACCCCAGTGTGTGATGTTCCCCTCCCTGTGTCCACCTCTCATTGTTCAACACCCACTTATGAGTGAGAACATGCGATGTTTGGTTTTCTGTTCTTGTGTCAGTTTGCTGAGAATGATGGTTTCCAGATTCATCCATGTCCCTACAAAGGACATGAACTCATTGTTTTTTATGGCTGCATAGTATTCCATAATGTATATGTTATTTACAAAAGCAGTGGTGGGTCAGATTTGGCCCATAGTCTGTAGTTTGTTGACCTCTACCAGGGAACAACAAAAACAAACAAAATTAATTGTCCCCCAGCTCCACTTAACTAGGTCTTAACAAACTGTCTTGCTTTTTTTTTTGCTGACTTTCCATGCAATACGGTGTACACAAGAATTTCTATATTTACTCCTAAAGCTGCTTTGAGACACAGCCGTTGTACAGAAACGGCCTCTACATAGTCACCACACTTTGTCAGTTGAAAGCAATAATTAGGGTCCTCGTATTCATGCATTCCTTTCATGAGAACCACATACTGGCCACCAGGGTTACACCCGTGGGTACATTCATCAATGCTTCTTATTTCACTTCTCTTCTCATTGCATACAGTGTAATTTCACTGACCACACTGGGCATGGTAACAAGGTTTTTCTCTAGCATGGACACACAATCGAAAGAAATAGACGAATTGTGGCCCAAGACATCTGTATGGAAACTTCAGAACCGAAATACAATCTCTGGTCATTTTGTCCACTCTCCGAGTTCAACTGCGCACAAATTACTTGTCATTGTGGTGACACAAATAAGACTTCATTAGCATGGCCATTCTGATTCTTGTAAACAAGTTTATTTATACATCAGCACTGCTGGAGAATGAAATCACAGAGAGAAGTTCATGGTAGGTGGCCCTGCCTTTTACACTAAGGCAGGCTTTGACAAAAATCCCTGCACCTCACTGAGACAAGCTGCTATTCAGCTACCAGGTTAATGAAGTTCGAGTGAGTGCCTGTTAAAAGAAGATGGCAACACTTGTGGGCAAGGCTGGTCACATTTGGATTTAATGACGTGTGTCGGTGCTGTTTCTAGTGTTTTTTGTTTTCCTGAACTCTTTGTTCCTTGGCTCTGCCAGAGGCTACAAAAAGGATAAAGCAGGTTCATCTTCAGGGATGCGTGACGGCTGGTTAGCGATCAGTTAAATCGGGTTTTGTTTGACTTGTAGCTAGATATCAAGTATTCCTCAAAGATGACAAAACCTGGGAAGATACGATCATCTGGGATTGTCAGAAAAAAATCGAATCATCTCACTTTGAGGAAACAGCAGGGAGATGTGGCCATGTCTCCTGAAGGAGAAGCAGTAGCGTTGACATTGCTCACAGGTGATGGGAAAGCTCCATCAAGTGTTCAGGCTCCTTCCTAATGTGGGGCTGGGGGTCTCACACCAGGAAAAGCAGAGGGATGTTCAAGTTCCCGATGCTGCATGTGCTGGCAAAATACGCATGGAGGATGCAAATGCGGGGAGGCAGGTCCCTGTGATAACCTGGTCTTCGTGTAGGAGACACTGAGCGGGGCAGAGTGAGCTCATCTTCTCTTCTGAGCCTCCTAGCCCAATGCCAGGCTCTTCTTCTGGGACAGCCAAGCCTGTCCTGCTCCCAGGATTTTTGGGGGCAGCCAGCAGCTGGCATCCCATCATCTTGGAAACTGAAAGAAACCCATGTCTGTGACAGCTCACAACGAGATGCCAGAATGTTCTCTTCAGGGACTCACTGGGTAAGGGCAGGCTCCAGAAAGACAGGAGATGGGGCAGGCAGGACACCTGTTATTCACAGAGCACTGACCACACCTTGTGCGTGGAGATACCTGCCTAGTTCATGCGGCTGCATGTCATGGAGTCGAGATTACAGGAGACTCTCGTGGTAGCATTATCCACACCCCAGGCAGGATGGCTTTCTCCTGCATCCCTTTCCTGAGAGGTTGGCTTCAGCTAGAAGAGGTAGAGACTTGCATAACATACTTGGACCAGAGCCTGAAATAGAGGGGTTGGAACCAGCCAAAGAAAAGTTTATGTGTCTGGACGGGGTTCTGCTCATGGGCCTCTGAAGCCACCTCCCCACAATTTCTGCAGGAGGAAAACTTGATGGATCCAATCGGCCTTGAGCTGGGAATCCTTTGTTAGGGAGGGGTGGTGGGGTTTTGGGGTTAACAGAGTTTGGGAGAATGATGGAGGAGGAAAATGAGGGACAGTGCCAAAGAGGGTGGACCCCAGATGCACATCTCAGGCAAACTCTGTTTGAGCTAATAAATATTCAACAGGTACATTTAAAAACAGATCCGGCACCATCCTCTAGACTCTGGGGGACCAGGTGCAGTGGCTCATGCCTGTGATCCCAACAATTTTGAGAGGCCAAAGCAGGAGGATCGCTTGAGCCCAGGAGTTCAAGACTAGCCTGGACAACACTGGTAAAAAAAAAAAAAAAAAAAAAAATTAAAATTAACCAGGCATGGCGGTGCATGCCTGTAGTTGCAGTTACTTGGGAGACTAACGTGGGAGAATTGCCTGAGCCTGGGAAGTCGGGGTTACAGTGAGTCATGATCACACCATTGCACTTCAGCCTGGGTGACAGAGTGAGACCCTGTCTTAAAAAAATAAAATAAAATGGACTATGGGAAGATGGGTGATCATCTGACAGCAAGATTTCTTTCTTATGACAGACCAGACCAACGCGATAGGCATAGACACAGGGTTCCATCCATTTAGAGGTGGTGCCCGAGATTCAAATCCTGCGCAGGTGCCAAGGTTTATACCCGGAGATGGGCCACACCCTACCTTGTTTCCACGTGAGCAGACCAGCCAGTAAGTCCACAGGATCTGACTGAGCATCCCAAGGACTGGGTTTCACAGCAAAAGGGAGTTTGTAACTGGTATACAGGCAAAGTTTCAAGCCCCAAGGAACTTTCTGTCCATAAGGGGAGATGAGATCCACCAAATAGTCTCTTCATATGATAATAACAGTTCACTGGATACTTCTACACACTCTGCTCTACGTACCACGCACGCACTTTAACTCACTGAATCCTTGCAACAGTGCTGTGTGGGTGGTGCTACGACTGTCCTCTTTAAAGACAAGGAAACAGTACAAACAGGTTAGATTATTTGGACAAGTCACACACCTCATTGAGTGTCACCAAGGGCTCCAGAGGTGTGCGAGAATGGAGCAGGAGAGCTACAATCACTTCCGAAGATAACCACATTTACAGAGGGCTTGTCATTCCATATACGTCATATACGTCATCTTCGTAAGATAGGAAGATGCTTCATCTTTCAAATGAGGCACCTGAGTTTCAGGGGAGTGATATAACTTGGCAAAACTCACATACCCAGTAGCTTGGCAGAAGTGAGTTTCAAGCTTGGGTCTGTCTGGTTTGCATTGTGTTCTCTTTCCACCCCTCCACTATTGGCCAATTTAGAGGAAGATTGGACTCCCTAAGCCCTTCGAGCTTCAATATCTGGTTCCTGGGAGATTTCTAGAGCTATGAGCATTCACTCCCACTTATGAGCAAGGCAAGGCTTCTCACAAGTTGAGGTCTGATCATGGAAGGCTAAAGGGATGAGACTGTCAAGGCTTGGTTGGAGGCCATACCCTGGTTCATAGCCAAGCGTTACAGTCGCCCTGTCATGAGGAAGCCCAGCCTCCAACTACATGGAATGGATTGGAGAAAGGCTATTTCATATCTGAGGTTATTTCATTTTTAAATCCACAGGTGTCAAGTGGAGGTTTTGGAAACTGTAGAGATCCAATTTAAAAAACGTCAGCTGGGAAGATTACAACTAGGAACACGGCTGTAATAAACACTGACTGTAAGTCATCACCCATCAATTGAGTCATCTGCCACGTTCATGAGGATTTTTGCATATCAAGGTGCCCAACCGTTCCAGGCAGAAGGATTAGTTACTGAAGTAACCTGGGCTGGAGGCCCAAAGGGCATTCGCATTGTGGAGCCTCTGAGGGTTAGAGCTTGCAAAGCTATATTTGGGGGAAAACCCAGGGTCCAAGTCCATTGCACACTGGACCAAAACGGGCAAAAAGCAAGGGAGGGAAGCACCAACAGGACCAAGGCAACTGTTACTTTCTTTTTAGGGTTAGCTTGATCTGTGTGGAGCAGAAAACCCCAAATAACAAATAAGAATTACAGAGGTCATAGAAATAACAGACAGATAGCAAGACGCATGATGGTTTGTTTCTCTCTCATGTAGAGGTCCCTGTGCAGGCTGTTCAGGGTTAGTGTGGCAAATCTGTTCCACAATGGTCTTGAGGACTATTTTAGTTCAGATCAATGCTGACTACAGTGACAAATCTGAAAATGTCAACGTCTTCACATAATGAAAATGGTTTCCTCTGATTATTCAAGAGTCCAATGAGGTGGCCAGGCATGGTGGCTCACACTTGTAATGCCAGCACTTTGGGAGGCCACTCCCTCTTCGTTTGTTAATCCTTCAGCACCTGAGGACTCCAGCGTCCTTACTGCTTCCTCACTCTCACCCCAGACTCTCTTCCTGCATGACCACCCAGGCGCCATCCAGGCTTTGACTCACTCTTTGGACCTGGTGTTATGGGTTGAATTGTGTCCCTCACACTCCAAATTCCTATGTTGAAGTCCTAACCCTAACATTTCAGTATCCAAGATGCTAGTGCCTAAGAATGTGGCTTCATTAGGAAACAGTCGTTGCAGATGTAATTAGTTAAATTAAGAGGAGGTCACAGTAGAGTAGGGTAGGCCCCTAATCCTATATGACAGGTGACCTTATAAAAGGGATATTTGGACACAGACACACATACAGGGAGTATGCCATGTGAAGATGAAGGCAGGTATCCAGGCAGTGCATCTGCCAGTCAAGGAATACCAAAGATTGCCAGCAGTTAGGAGATGGGCACGGAACAGATTCTCCTGCACAGCCCACAGAAGGAAATATGAGTGCCCCACTTCCAAATGCTTGGAACCAACCTTACCAACACATTAATCTCAGACTTCTGACTCTATAAGGGTGAGACAATAAATGTTCAACATTTTAGTCAACCAGTTTGTGGTATTTTGACATGGCAGCCTGATCTGGCTTCAGGTTTTGGGAGGCCAAGGTGGGCAGATCGCTTGAGCCTAAGAGTTCAAGACCGGCCTGGGCAACATGGAGAAACCCAATTTCTACAAAAAATACAAAAACTAGCTGGGTGTGGTGGTGTGTACCTGTGGTCCCAGTTACTTGGGAGGCTGAGGTGGGAGGATCACCTGAGCCTGGGAGGTCAAGGCCGCAGTGTCATGATCATGCTAGTGTACTTCACCCTGGGTGATAGTGATTCAAAACAAAGTCCAATGTAAGGGTTCCTCCACAATGGGCATCTTTCCCCCATGTAGGTCCAGCCCATTAGAGACTCTTGTAAGTATTTGTTAAATAAACCATTTAAAGATACATGTTCAAGAGGCTGGGCGAGGTGGCTCATGCCTGTAATTCTAACATTTTGCAAGGCTGAGATGGGTGGATCACTTAAGGTCAAGTGATCAAGGCCATCCTGGCCAACAAGGTGAAAACCTGTCTCTACTAAAAATACAAAAATTAGCTGGGCATGGGGGCAGGCACCTGCAATCCCAGCTACTCGGGAGGCTGAGCCAGGAGAATCCCTTGAACCCAGGAGACGGAAGTTGCAGTGAGTTGCGATTGAGCCAGCCTTGCCCCAGCCATGCAGACCTGGGCTCCTTGGATAGTCCCAGCCCTTGGTCCATCTTCATCTTGGCCTTCCCGATTCCAGCTCCACCCCACTCACCCCCACTCTGCCCATCTACCCTCCCTTTGTTGCCCCAGGTTTCTTTCCTTGAAAACCCCCAAGTTCTGCTGCCAACACAGCTGGTGTTGATACCAGTATCCAAGAACCACACATTCACTTTAAGAATCCTCCTCTTGCCTATAATCCCAGCACTTTGGGATTCATGGGCTGGATCATGAGGTTGGGAGTTCAAGACCAGCCTGACAAACATAGTGAATCCCCATCTCTACTAAAAATACAAAAATTAGCTGGGTGTGATGGCATGCGCCTGTAACCCAGCTATTCAGGAGGCTGAGGCAGGAGAATTGCTTGAACCTGGAAGGCAGAGGTTGCAGTGTGCCACGATCATGCCATTGCACTCCAGCCTGGGTAACAGAATGAGAAAAGAAAAAGAAAAGAAAAAGAAAAAGAAAAAAAAAAGGAAAGAAAAGGATCCTCCTCTCACAAAAGAGTTTACAACCATTGAGTGAGTATTTTAGCAGAAGCCGAAATCTCTCACCAATCCTTAGGCTTTATTTGCACAAAACATAAAATAGAGTTGAGTATCCTTAGGATGGATGAACATTCATGGTCACACTGAATAATCAGATCAGTTTCTTAGGGGAAGGAGGCAATATTTTTCCCAGAAACAAAGCAAAGGGTGGGCTCTCAGCACTCTCCCTCTTTAGAATGGGTGGATATGGTTTTTGTGCCTGGGCCATCTGGTTAACTTACATCTTCCAGTGTTTCTGGGCTATCAATGTAAGAAGCCCCCATCGTTAACTACAAAGTACTTTTTGGTAACTGAAATAAATGAATTTCATGAGGGAGAAACCTAGGAAACAAGTAAAATAAAAAGGCAGGCCACTAGTCTGACTATACCCAAAAGGGAAGTCCCATTGCTGGAAAGATCCCAGGACACCTGGCAGAGGTACAACTGCCACGTGCCCCTGGCTTCTCAGGTGGCCAGAATTTCAAAGATCTGCTTCCACTGCAGCCCCACCTCTCTGGGAGGCCAAGGCAGGCAGATTGCTTATGCCTAGGTGTTTAAGACCAGCCTGGGTAACATGGTGAAACCCCATCTCTACATTTAAAAAGAAAGTACAAAAAGTTAGCTGGGTATGGTGGCATGTGCCTGTAGTCCCCGTTACTGGGGAGGCTGAGGTGGGAGGATGGCTTGAGCCCAGAGGTCAAGACTGCAGTGAGCCATGATCATGCCACTCAACTCCAGCCTGGGCGACCGAATACAACCCTGTCTTGAAAAAAAAAACTAGGCCAGGCGCGGTGGCTCATGCCTGTAATCCCAGCACTTTGGGAGGCTGAGGCAGGCGGATTACGAGGTCAGGAGATCAAGACCATCCGGGCCAACAAGGTGAAGCAACCCCATCTCAACTAAAATACAAAAAGTTATCCAGGCATGGGGGTGTGTGCCTGTAGTCCCAGCTACTCAGCTACTTGGGGTGCTGAGGCAGGGAAATTTCTTGAACCTGGGAGGCAGAGATTGCAGTGAGCCGAGATGACACCACTGCACTCCACCCTGGCAACAGAGTGAGACGCCATCTCAATAAATAAATAAATAAATAAATAAATAAAAGATCTGTTCACTTGAACATCCCAAGAATTCTCATACCCAAGATTCATTTTGGGTTCAAAAATATGGTCACCACAGATGCAGAAAACCCCTACTCACCAGAGGGCGCAGTAGAATTAGGGCACTAAGGGTGTCAAGGAGGGTCAGAGAAAGAGCTACCACCTGATGGAGCAGCCAGGTCTGGAGAGGGCAATGATCCCAAAGGCCCACACCTGTAGGGGAACAGGTCTTCTCCTCTAAACTGCTAAGCAAGTGCCACCTGGTTAAAACGAGCATCACAAGGAAACCTAAAATGGAAGATAAGCCCCAAATGAACAACTCAGGAAGGGGCATCCAGAGGACGTTGTCTTCCCTATCAGCCCCACTCCCTCCGCTGAGGGCATGTGTATGAGTGAGGGAGCTCGGTGCCCAGGCCTCCGGCTCTCTCTTTCAGCGTCAGCCTCCAGGGAGGGTGGAAAGCAGAGGCAGCCGCAGGAAGATGCCCCAGGAGCTTTGCCTGGTAATGGGACTATGGGTGGGTCTCGAGTTCCACTCCTGGCTGGGTTAGGCTTCTGAGAGCAGTGAGAGGCCTTCTCCCAGGGCAGGTGCCTGCCCCTCCCTGGTGTGCCCCCCCACCCCCCAGGCTCCCAGTGCCCGTCTCAGTTCTGCAGTCCCAGGAGTTATGACAACATGTGATCTTCGGTCCTAGGACCCACACTTGGTGATCAGGCTGCTCCCATGAAAGGCCAAGAGAATGTGGCTCCCCTTGGTGCTGGCCGCGGCGGAAGACCAGGCCCCAGCCTCACTTCAGAGGCAGGGACAGCAAGGAGCTTGGGACAGGGGGATCCAGTCTGCGTTGCATCAAAGGTTTGTTTTGTGTTTTGTTTTTAATTTTTAGATGAATAATTCAGTGGCTATGCCAAGGTTGAAATATTTTTCTGTTTTCAGTAAGATGTGAGAAAAGGAAATGAATTTTAATGAAATGTTTTGGTTTACTTTATCTGAGGCTTTCAGTGTAATGGGATTCCCACGCCCTAAACAGATGTCAGCTGTTTCATCCTCTTGCTTGCAAAAGGCAACAGAGAGCCGGGGGCTCCCCTGCTTAGCCCTTTTGCACCCCCCTCCCCCATTTCCCAGATAGGCAGGACTACCTGTGAGCACCACTGGGAGAGCTCTGAATGTCCCAGCCATTCAGAAAACTAAAACTGCAAGTGACGATTATGATGCCTTCATGAATGCAGACCAACAGGTCTCCACAGGTGACAGCAAAGCACCTGCCCCATGTTCCTGAGGCCTGTGCATCCCTGCCCTGTCAGGTGACTCAGTCTTTGGCAGATGGCCTGTGCTCTCTGAGCCAACGACTCCCATGAAGAACTTGAGTGTCATAAAATTCTGAAAACAAGATTTAAGGGGAGTTGGAGAAATGTGGCAAGATCTCTAACACGAACAGAGAGCTGTCAGGTTAAGGTGATGTCACAGACATCTGAAAATCTGCCAGAGCATGAGCTAACTTATAGCTGCACGCTCAGGACATGTTTCTGAGCAGAAGTTCAGACCACAGAAATTCCCTTAAATGGGATTACTGATGGAATTCCTTCTGAGTCAAGAAAACACCTGCCTCAGATAAGCTGTCATCAATGGATCCATCAAAGGAATGATGCACTGAGCCCTTCCCAAGTGTGTGCAGTTGGGGGATGAAGAGGCAAAGGTAACCAGATGCTGCCTTCAAGGGCTTATGAGAATATGCTTGTTGAGGCAGCAGCCCTGCCTGACAAACCAAAGAAAACCCAGAGAATGTCTGTAACCAGGTGCTCCTTGCCTAGATTCTCAGCTGCCACCATCCCTGGGGTGTCACTGTCTCTATAGACCCAAGTGAATGTCTGAAAAGAGAAAAAGAAGCATAGTTGTTGAAAGAACACAGCTATAAAAGATTTATGTGGCTACCGTGAGCTCTTAATAATTCTCTTTTCACATCCTTTGCCAGTTAAGATTTTCAAATCACATTCTGTATCATTGTTCCCTTGGAAGGAGAAGGGTGAAGATCTTTGTCCTGGTTTTACCGGTGATTTTGGGGGGACACTGGGATTTCCAATCCCAGCTTCCCAGCAGCATCTCTGCTTGGCTTTCCTGTATTGTGAGGGGGTGGTCCAAGGGGCAGAAAGCCCCAGGAGTGGAGGACTCTAACGAAAGCCACACCGGAGCCTCGCCTGCTCTTTCCTTTTCCTGAGTCTAGTTCTCCAACAGGGGAAATGTCTCAAGTGGAATGTGACTGTGTCACCCGCCTTCCCAAAGGGGCCCAGCAAAATGAGAGATGCTGTCGATCAACTTTCAGTGTCCTCTCTGCCCAGGGCTTTGATTCCTACAGCCTGTAAATGCTGTTCCTTTTTTTTTTTTTTTTTTTTTTGAATTAACCAATACCAACTAATGAG